AGGTCAAGTGAAGCGAAGTCGGTGTGGTTGAGTCAACCATACGTCAGTGAGAAAAGTCCGCGTGCAAGACAATGACCGGGGCAATCGGTGCGTATCAATAGTTGCGACTGGAGATGGAGGGAAGGACACACGTGCAGACGCGAAGAAGAACGGAGGAGAATTGAATAACACAAATTATATCCGTAGCTTTGTTAGAAATGATCACACAGAGCTGAATAGAATCTCGTTGGATAGAGCGTAGAATTGCCTTCACAGTGATATCACAATGAGGGTAATACGTGGAAAGTTGAGCAAGTTTACACGCGTGAATAAGATGGAGAATTCGCTCCGCATAGCCGAGCGGTGGAAATGTGAAACACGTAGGGAGTGATATCACTCAATGTAGCTCACCGGACAGAGTGTAATGAGTGCTAACTCGACGTTGTACGACGAGTTTTGACACAGAAAATCCACTGAAACCGACAGCACACAAACTGAGCGACTATACTCGAGCTGCTAGATGCTTGGCATCGAAATGGGATGTCATTTGAAACTTGTCATCTCACTTCCCGGCGGCACACCGGATAATAAATGAATCAGTCCGTAGTTTTTCTTGGGCTCATCAATTCGATCTCAGTGGTCTTGTTAATTTTCGAAGGAAATTGCCAACCGCACCATTTGGCGTACTGCTCGCAAATGTGAGTAGCACTCCACAACGCTGGTGCTCTCTGGCACCATAAACTGACCCGCTTCGTTATTAAAAATATTCTTCATCTTAATTTGGTCCATTTTGATTAGCTTCAGAATGGGTTTTTCATGGTAGATATTTTTCTCCTTTTGTTCTTTTCAGTATACTCATAATTCAACCTGTTAATAATGGTTCAATGCTTATGAGGCTGTTTCGGTCCATACCCTCTCACTTCACATTCATTCGCATTTATTCTGAATCAGAGACATAAGTATACATCATGTGTGATTGCGCGCTAAATTCTAATCTGCATAATGTTCATAACTGCCCACACCGAATAGAACCGACGAAAGGGGGAACAAGGCTGACCAAATTGCAACTTGGAAAACTATGCGCTGATGTATCCGCATTTTACCGCAAAACCTTTTCTTCGGAAAATGTTGATTTCCCATAGCCTCGTGATCATCGCGAAGTTTTAGGAAACGTTTTATATGTTTATGTTATATGTTTTGTTCAAGTAAATCCGGGACAAAAGAACACGCGGTAGAAAAACAGGAAAATTGAAGTTTTTCCACCACTGGCAAATTGAAGAGAAGATAATCAGACTTTCCACCAACGGGATTTGGACTGTAATTCCATGGTGTAAGCTGCGCGTTTCTAGGTTATTGAACTAACCTAGCCCATTTGAACAGCTAATGGTGTATGTGGAAATAATATAAACATACTACTGATGAGTAACCAGATACCAGACCTGTATTTTTAAGTGAATCACCGGTTCTCTTTAGATAAGCACATGACGAGAAAACTGTTGGCGTATGCCCCATAGTTTCATCAAATGCTTTTCGTTTTGCTTAATTCACATGCAAATAAGTTTCAGGTGCAATATCAGAAGTTCGAAGATTCATAGTATTGATTGAATTGTTTTGTTCGGTTGTCAAGACCGTGGACATCATTATCCTTATCAGCAACACCGGATTCGTCTTCACCATCATCATCATCCCGATGAATGGTATCAAAGAGTAAAAATGTGATACGTTCGAACAAAATACGCAGATTGCAGAGTATTCTCAAATCCTCGCCATCCAAACGTGAACGTGGAAGACGAGTGGCAAAGGGAGCATCTGTTTTCAACGGGAAACGTGAAGTTTAACTAGATGAGCAACATTCACAGTCGGAATGCGCGCCCGCAAATCTGATATAATGAGAGAATCGATGTCAGGACTATCACTACTGTCAATTCGATGTTTACAAACGAGGCGATCTTAACGATGGTCACATGGGATGCGATAAACCTGCAATAACAAAATACTCCTGTGCGCCTCTTAAACCAGTTTGCATCGACTTTCGTCCCTAAGCAAAAGTTGCAACCAAGGCGCAACCAGGCACTATAACAATACACAGCCTTTTAACTTGTTTGAGTCACTTAAGCTGTGTGAATCCCTGTGCCGAGATGCTCGGTTTCTGATGATTGCATGATGCTCGTTAAGTAGCGGGGTGTGCTCGATCGTGAATAGGTAAAATGAGAACTATTCTCTTTATCTCTCCGATGGTCAACTGGGTAAAAAGCTGGCATTCTACCTATTTGGTTCATGTCTTCAATTGGGTCAATAGATTCGCGCTGTTGGTGCACTCTGAACCATGCTCATTTTTTTTACCAATTCCCAGTAACTAAACTTAAAAATCTTGGATGCATTCCTGTAAAGTACACCCGCTTATGGGATCTGTGCAAACATTTAGGTAAATATGCCATATTGTGGATGACGCAGAATGCTGTTCAATGAAGTAGCTATTCTGAATGGTGGTAAGGAAATGTGTAACACCCAGAGATCAAAAGAGGATACACTATGAGCCCAAGAATATATACAACATCTTCCATGATTGGTAATTGTCTTCACGAACGAGAAGGTCCATGCTCACGAATAAAGCAACCGTTGGTCGAATACTGTAATTGCCTTAAATCAGTAACATGTGAAGTATCCGGTACAAAGTTATCACCATTCATAGAATTGTGAGTTATCCATATCGCCACTGAGTCATCCATTAATTTGTAATTGTATTTGTATAATTTTTGCAAGCTGAAATATACTTACATTTCAGTTAAAAATTGTACACTGGTCGTCGCACTGGAGAAAATATAGAAGTATAAACAAATTCAATAGTGTGCTGTTTAAAAGAAAGAAAGAAATGTCTCTAAAGTTTGATTCATTCACTTAAAGATTGACGCAATTCATTTATAACTTGTTCCTTGTTGGTTAAGATGCCAGCCAGATAGGGTACAGTGGAGTTTTTATAAATGTTTATTTGGGAGGGTAGGTAGCGATAAGAGGAACGAGT